AGTCTACTTCTGCTAAACCTATATAGGCCATAACAAAGTTAAACACCTTATCAAATGACTTTTATAATAAACAAAATAATTCCCTTTGGATTTTTTATTCAAATGAGCCAACTGCCCTGCATTTGTTTCAGGAGGACATTCTTTAGTTGTCATTGTCTAGGGTTTCCCCCACCCCATGTTTTATTCAGTGCCTGTGAAGTAGCCTTAAGGCTTAACCCCTGCCTTGGGCATTGGCCATTAATGGCCTTTAATGGATAAGGCTCCTGTGATTCAGAATAGGCTTTTATGAGTTTATAAAACTCATTGGGTGAGAGCTTGTGACTGTTACTCCCTCCTCCTCCACCTCACTTCCATCTCATGTACACATTTTCTAGATCCCAAATGAAACACAATTAGTGCTTTGTTCTCTCAAATCTCTGTGATATCTGGTATCACATCACTAGAGAAACCCTCAAAGAACAAGTTCTGGAATGCATCTAAGTTTAGCAACTAAAATGGGCATTGGATCTGTTGGCTGTGTCTGCTTTAAAGCCAAAACAATGATGAGTCTTAAAACAGGAGTCCAGTGTCGTTATTTTGTCCGTTTACTGCATAAGACAGAAGATGAGTTTCTTGATAGGCTACAGAAAAATCTGCCTGTGCTTCCATATGACTCCAAGCTGACATCACCTCCTCTGCGCAAGCCTGTGCTTGGGTCTGTCAATGCTGTATTGGTCTCTCCTTGAACTGCCAGACCATCTCTCCGCAGACCTTCTCTCTGCTGCATCCTCAGCACACTTAACGCTTGCAAGCAGCAACCTGACCTTGTGTGCACTGTTAGTTTTAATCGAACTCTGCTTTGTCCAAGTTAGCAATACAAATCCCTTGTTTGCTGGCCGTGGTTGTCATGATATTTATACAGCTTGAAATGCTATGCAACACAGTGGCTGACTGCATAGGCTCCTTACCACTCTGGTAGCATTGGAACAATGCATCAGGTTTGCCTTGTGCAGCTTTCCTGATTAGATCTGAATGTTGGACTCTTGGGGGTCTAAAAACCAAAATTCTGTCTAAGTTTAATGTCTGACCTCATGAATTATCTGAGCATTCCCAAGGATTTAAAGAACTCTCCAGGTTCTGAGTAACTCTGTGGTCAGCAGTGCTAGCTGCAGGTCTGTATGGCCTTAATTTCTAAAGGCAAAAAAACTTTATATTTTTATTGAAAAATTAAGTTTTGGCAGAAATTTTTTAACATTGGTTAGGCTTTTGTATTTAACACATCTTACGCAAGTCTGGTGCATCCTAGATCACTGAAAATGTTTTACGGCTTGTTCTAGGCTTTTCTTTAAACAGGTATTTCTGATTTCCTGAAGCAATGGAGTCCATTCTTTACTGAGCACCCAAGTGTTTGATGCTGGGAGTTCTCTTACCTGTGCTGAGTTACAGGCCCCGACTTCATCTTTTTCTTCCCATATTTTATGATGTGTTATTCTGGCAGTCTGACAGCAGTTATCTCTAATTCTTGCTTGATTTTTCAACTTCACTTCTAACCCGAGAGTTAGCCAAACTGACTTCCACAAGGCTGGTTTACTCTCATTTTGCTTGGAAGAGATGAAGGAGAAGCACTGGGGTATATCCTGTGGATATCATAAGACAATAGTATTTACTGAGCCTGGCAAACCTGAGGTTCTGGGTTTGACCAGTAGGTTGCTGAGTCTCTTTCTCAGAAGAGGTCTTGGTCCAGTGCATTTCTTTCATTTTTCTAGGTGTCCTTAGTCCTGCAGTATTTTGGGTTTAGCATAAACTGTTGCCCCTATCAAAAACCCAGTGACCTGTTCTTTTATTACTGCTGTGACGATGCATACTCTGCTCATGACTCTTACTAATTTGAAAACCACAGGTTGCAATTTCCTTTAACTACTAACTGCTACTAGTTTAATCTCTTTGTACAGACCTCCTTGGAGTTTAAGACTCCTGGGATGGGGATCTATTATTATTTGTGCCTTGTGGGAGGAAAAAGCCATCTGCCAATAAAACACTCATCCAGAAGGCATGTCACTTATAATAAAAACCCGCCCTCCCATCCACCTTCCCTGCAGCGTGGGTGATTGTATGTTTTTTACCCTCTGTTCAGAAAAAGGGACCTGGTTATTGGCAGCAGTAGGGGGGCTGCTATATTTATCGAGGCCAAGTGAGCATGGCCTCTTGGTAAGATGGCTTAATGGATTTAGATTGCTAGACTAGGGGAGTTCTTGCCAGACGTTCACTGGGAGCATGGATAATTAGAGCTTGAGAACAAGTATTGCAGGTAAATAATTTTCTGTGTGCAGAGTGCATGCTTTATGTGACTTTCTTTGCTTACGTGTATGTGTTTTATATTGCTGGCTTATTTTGATGATCAGCTCTCTAACATACTCAACGTTTTTGGTTTATTTTGCAGGAGCTATTGGATACATGGGAACAAGTGCCTTTGTTCGTAAAATCTACACTAATGTGAAAATTGACTAAGGAAATAAGAAAACTGAACTATGGATCAGTTCCCGTTTTCATGGGGATGAACTTGCACAACAAAAAGCGCGAGAAGAGATTTGGGTTTTGACACTGGGCACTATATGGGTCTCCATTTTGTGGATGGCTTAAAGTAACATCTATTTCATTGATCCTAGGTTCTTACTGACTGCTTTCTCCAACTGTTCACAGCAAATGCTTGGATTATATGCAGTAGGCATTACTACAGTACGTGGCTAATCTTCCCCCCCCAAAAAAAACAAAAAACAAAAAACCTAGCTCATTAAAGATGAATAGACTAGCTCTCTTCAGTGAAGAGGACAAACAGTTTATTTAAAGCATTTGTTCCATTCAATAAAAAGAGGGAAACTTGGCTGCTAAAACTACTTGATTAGTAGTCTTCCTGGTACTTAACATTTCTAAACTATGTAAAAATGCCGTTCCAGAAAGATTACTTTTCTGATTTTTACTGCCATTGCCAGGATAAGAGGTATGTTTTATATTTTGACTCCAGGTGCTTTTTGGTTTATTTGCGATATCAACTATACCCTACACTCATTTGTTTAAAAAATAATTTAAAAATATATTAAAAACCCATATGCATGTAATATATCAGCAATTGTTCTAGTTGGACCAACTTCCCTTTATTTATCTTTAAAGTAATATCCAGCTACATCTTAAATCCATCCAAAGAAAATACAGTCTGAAGACGGGATGTGTTCTCTGCAATGCAATTTACTGTACAGTTAGAAAGCAAAATGTTAAATGAAGAGGATTGTTTGTTTTTAATAAACACTTTGAGGTCTAGATTAAAACAAAACCAACATTTTAACTGAATGTCTAAAGTGATTCTCCTTTTTTCCAAGTTAGTCTTGCTTTTTTTTTGGTTTGGTTTGAATTAAGATTTTCCTTTAGACATTATACAAGGGGTAATAAGTGTATATAACATTAAATAATGTAACTTAGGTGTAGATCCCAAATGTATTTGGATGTACAGATTTACTACAGAGTACTTTTCTGATGATTCGGTGTAAAAATGTGTGAATTTGGGTGGCTTTTTACATCTTGCCTGCCATTGCATGAAAAGTTGGGGTTTCTTCACAATGTGTGTATGTCATGCTTTTCTGTTCTATTTCCTTTCTCAAGCTCTTACAGGAATTAAATTTGTAATTTAGAACATTTTAATTTTTGTTAATCCTATCTGGACACTTGTGTAACATCAAAAGCACAGTTGCTTTAGAGTGTTCAGAAAACTAAAATAAACTTTTCAGACAAAAATGTTCTGATTGTGAAAATAGCTGAGTTTGCAATTGAAGATGTTTGAAAAGGCAATACTGCTGAATGCCAGTTTCTGTATACAGTATTAGTGTGGTTTTCAAATATCAAACCCCCATGCTTTGAATTCAGAATTTGCAACTGTATTGTACAATACAGCTCCAGAGTGGGTGACCAGCCCAAAAAGATTCTTCTTGGCTGAACTGTTTGTGGAGAAATCCGTTCTGTGATCCAGCTAGCGTACTGAGAAAAGTGGGGGTAAGCGTGGACTGAAATAAATGGGCAAATAGAAGTTAAGTCTTTCTAAGATGACTGTTAATTATGCACTGTATTTAGCTAGAAATATTCTGAATGTGTTTGTGACAGATTTGAGAGCCAGTCAGCTTGATTTTTTTTTTTAAGGCATCTGCCACGTAGGAATGCTTTCATCTGTGTGGCTGTCTGAAATAAGAGCACCTGCCATGGAGAAGGCAACTTCTTGAATTAAAAAATGAGCGAAGTGTTCGTCTTGATTAGCACTGTATTGTCTCTATGTAAAATAAAGTACTGATAATGCAGTAGCCACAAGAAAAAAACGTGCTTTGGCAGGGTCAGGTTGGAGCCTGGGGGAACTGAACTGATAGGTAACAGTGAGAAGCAATGCAGCCTGCTGTATATGGCTTCTGAAAAGTATTTGAGCTTTCAGCACTGATTTCCCTGGCCAATTTTAACCAGTCTGTCAGAAAATAATTAAGTTTTGCTGCAAGTGAATGGTTGGTGTCTGTAGCCGAACACTCTGCCATTTAACAGAAGTTTGTTTTTTTTTTTTTTTTTTAAGGTACGGGCTGATTCTAAGGTGAGCTTATAAACTGGGTCAACAGTTAGTTTTCCCTTGTTCCAAAACATGGAGACTTAAAGCAAAGAATGGGTTTTATACTAGTTCTTGCTTGTGCCTACAGCTGTGGGAAGCCCTCTTTTCATCCATGTTCTTCTAAATCTGAAGTGAGAAGCCATTATCGCCACACAATAAATACATTAAGTACTCCATCAAGATACAAGTTTTTTAAAGGGAATATTTGGATAATGGGTCTGTTTCTCTATTTAGAGCACTGCTATGTGATTAGTCTATCAGAAATGTCACTAAACCATTTGTGAATTTCATTTAATCACTTTTTAATGCCACAGAATAGTGGACTGCCTACTTGCTTTCTCTATCCTCTGGCATTATTAGCTTTCGCATATCCAGGTAGGATTGTATAGCTTTTAAAGTGACATTGAAAAGATACTTACTGCACAGGCATTGCTTTTGTTTCTGCAAGCACGTTCCTCTGGAGAAGTACTGTGTTTAAATAATTGACATTTTTATACTTCCACCTTAGCACGTAAGTTGGGGGTTTGCTTTGTTTTCCCCCTTCCTCTTGGTTTCTGAAGGAGTGCAAAATGTGACCAGTTTTCAACAGCTTGTCTTTATGGTTGCTGTTTGGGGCAAGGCTATTTATTTGCCCCCCAAAAAACTGTGGATATAACTTGAACCATCTTGCTTAATAGAATTTGGAAGCTCTCTGCTTAGATGATGTAGTCCTTCCTCTTTTATGGAAGAAATAAAGATCTTACAGCCAACACTCTTCTTTCCATGATCATTTCTTAGGAGTTTCTGGTTCTTGAATTCAAGCTTTTTGATAACTCTTCAGCTGGCCACTCAGTGCTTCTCTTTCCACTTCTGGTACAGAGGCCAGAGAATTGGGTAAGTAATTGTGGAGCAATAGCCAGTCTTGATCAAATGCTTTAGATAAACAAAAGCATAAATCTTTCTGATGGAGGCAGAGTGCATATAGAAAACACTTCTGGTACTTCACGTATGAAAAGTGATGAATGCTGGATTGGAGATAATGGAGACTGCAGATAAACACTACGTTACGCTCTTTTTTGATATCCGAATGTTTTGAAGCAACAGTGTCTATTAATTCTTTTCCAGAATTACATTCCCAAGTGTCTAAAGGGCACACAATTAAACTGTTTTCTGCATGATAGTCTAGGTGTATTTCTTTAACAAGTTTCAGGTTAAAAAAAAACCACACTTTTGCTGCTAAAACTGGGTAAAGTTGATAGCACATTCTTATCACTACCATTACTGCAGAGGGAGCACAAATGAGAAAGTTGCATTTTGCTCTGGCTTCAGCATCACCAACATCTAGCCAAATTTGCCCAATGAAGTATATATATATACACACACACACATCTTCACCGAAGACAGTAAAATTGTGTAAATGTGAGTGCATCAGCAATTTCTCCACTGGAATGTGTCCGAAAAGCATAAGCTCAGGAAAAAACAAGTATCCTCTTCAGTCTGCGGAGAAGTAAACTGAATAGTCGGAGCCAGAGTTGAGAGGTCCTCTTACCTTGAATGAATTCGTAGCTGTGGCTTGTGGTTCATTTTAAGAGTTGGTTGGAACCGTAGGTTGGAGGAGCGTTCCACTTCTTGATACCTTGCATCTTTCTAGCTAAATGCCCCATGGTAGCGGCAGCCTTGCGATGGCTGTTGGCACCGCTGCTGTCTAAGGCAAGTATCTCTTGCCAGGGTTAGCACTGCAGTCACGAAAGCCCCTGCTGTTGTTGGACTTCTGTTGAAATAAAGCCACACTTCAAAACTTTGAAGTAGCGCATTTATGGCTTGCATTCTTCAGGAGCATCTTTTATTTAAAAATTAAAAAAAAAAAAGAAAAAAGCTTTGGTGCCATGTGTTTTCCAAAGCCTTGCAAAGGAACATTTGCTTTTTGCTAAATAGCTTCAGTGAGAAAATTCTCCTGCTTTTCTGAGGAGACGTTTGCATGCGAGTTCTACAGGTAGTTCCTCACATCTCAGTTTTATCCAGGAGGTGCTTTATCACTTGGGGAAGGGCTGTTACAGTATTTACTTTTATAACGAGTTCTGTGGTTCTGAGATTTGTCTTCAATTTTTGGGTTATGGCACTGGGGGGGGAAGCGGCGAGGGGAGAGCCCGTGAATCTAGAAGGCAGTTTCAGTAAATCCAGGCAGTTCTTGGAGAGAATCACTTTAAAGGACAGGAACTCAATTGGGGAAAAAGATAAGAAACAGTTGTTTTGTCTGGTGGACTGGCCTATTTCAAAGGCAGGCCTCTGGAGACAAATTTGCTGTTACAGTATGGTTTGCCCCCAGCCCCGAAACAGTTACAGCCTGGTTTTTTCATCAGGGCGTTTGCCATGGTGCAAGGCTTTTGCAATAACCCAAGGATTCAGCTGTCATGAGCAAGGGAGATGATGTTAGTTGCTACCAGCATTTTTGGCTTGTTCGTAGGTTAATTTTCTTGCCTGCTGCTGGTAATGCAATACAGAACAATATGTCAAATACCTCTGGAGGTTTTACCATGCTGAGGCTTCATTTTTTTATGAAAACCAAACCCATAGGAACTTTTGTTATGTTCTAGACAGAAGATCTTCAAGACTTCAGGCTTGGAGCATTCCAGAACATAACTATACAAGTTCATCCTTATCCTTCAGCTGGCATTGCGTGACTACAGCATTCCAGAAGATACATACAGCTTTAGAATTGGGGAGTTTATATGCAATAAACAACATACCTAATTTTACAGACCTGTTATTTTAGGGTTATCTCTTCTAATATTGTGAGACATGCTTACCCGTGTGATGCAGTAGTTACCTTGATAGATTCCAGTTCACCAAAGCATAGACCTTAGCCCTACAAACTTGAAATGCTATGCTGAGTCTGGGACAGAAAGCCCAGTAGTTCTGTCTAACAAGCTGACCAACCTAGAAAAACATGCTGCAGTTCGGCACCAGGCTGTGATTTTTTTTTTTTCCTAAAGGATGTGTGTCGCAAGCTTTTACTTGGTTTCTGAAAAGTTTTGAGAGCTATAGTAGTTAATTGTTTCCGAGAAGTTTCCAAACACGATTGAGAACATCATGCGATACTGAACTCAAGGAAGCTCTTGTGGCTGCTCATTCTCATTTGCCAAAGGTTTGTCTCAGGAATTTTGGAGCTGTGTGGTATACTGAAGCACTAGACAAGGCATGGTGGTTTTATGGGCTACTAGCGATGCAGTGCTCTCTCTGAGTTCATTCTATGCTATTTTTTCATTCTGAATCACTAGTCTTGGTTTAGCTGTACCATTTTATTGGGCTGAGGAGAATGGATTGTGTTATTAGCTTAGCATGAGGTTTTTCGTGTTTTGCTACGGAGGAGTAGCTACAAGAATGGGATGGAAATTTTCTCCTCATTTCCCTTCTAACGTCTGTCCAGAAGTTGGCAGGTGAATTAGTGCACATTACCTACTGTTTTAAAAAGAGATCTGACAGCTTTAGAGACAGGGACCCGTTTACCTGCAAGAATTGGAGACTTACACTAAAACGTTGAAGAGATGCTATTAGGTTACTTAAGTTCTGCATTTTGGCTCTGCGGAACCATTTTTAGTAATTTGAATTGCTTAGCTGAAAGTTGATTTTTGTTGAGAATTCTTTTTTTTTTGGTTTATCTCACTGCCAGAAAGTGATCAAACGCCCACCTTTGTCTGAATCTGAAATGTACCACATTTTTTATAATATGTATAGCAAAATAAATAATGAAAAAGGAAATATTCCTGGTTTTAGCCATCTAAAGAGTGACATGTAAGATGAACCTATTTTAAAATATTGCTTGCCTAATGAAAGGAAATACCTGCATGTTCTCTGCCATAGCCAGGTGTGTGGTTTGGATGAAGGATGTTACTACGGATAAATCTACGTACAGAAATCCTGGGCAGAACCTGCGATGGGGAAGCTTCTCTAAGGCATTTCTCCATGAAGCAGCCATCTCTGCTTTTTTGAGAGATTCATAAAATTCTACCTGCTGCTGCAAAACAGCCTAGACTCGAGTAGCGTACGCTGCCAGCCTCTGTAACGGATGCCTGCGAGTGAACAGGTAGATGCAACTACCTCATCTTTGTCTTACAGCAGAGGCATGGAGAAATGTTTTTCCTTTCCCAGATCCATCTCCTTAGGGAAA